GTTGCAATTTTTCGGTCATTGAATTAAGAGAGACGAGCAAGTAAAAGTACTAACGGACTTAAGCTGTTAGGCCCGGTCCAACTTAAGCCCGCTAGGGTTTTATGCAAGACATATAAATACTTGATTTATAGGCCTTGCACATACACAACACAAAAAACCCTAACCCTAGCCGTACACCTCTCTCTCTCTCGGCCTCTCTCTCCCGCGGCCACCATCGCCGTCCTCCCCGCCGTTTCGCCGGAATCGGCCGTTCATCGGCCGATCGTCTTGGTAGCTTCTTTCCTTCTTTTTTTCTTCCGTTTTTCTAACTATTACGTGTCTAGTGCCACGTGTTTAGTAGATCGAAGTATACAAGGTGAAATCCGAAAGGAGGAAGATCGAAGATCGAGGAATCAAGGAGCAGCGCACGAGCCGAAGCCGCACGCTACCCCACGCGCCGCCCCGGAAGACCGCCCGTGAGATTCACGCGCCGCCGTGGCCGATCCGCCGCTGCTGCCGCTGCACTGCTGCTGCCCCGATTGTACGGATTGGTTTCCGTAGCAATCTCGACTTGCCAAGCGCTCCTACCTCACGCTTCAAGAGGTAAACACACGAATCCCTTGTTTCGATTCGTTTATGTTTAAACTATATTTTCATGTTTGCTTTCGTATGATTTTATGTGATTATGTGTAATCGTTTTAATCGTTGCAAGCATGTTATTTGGTTTAAACGCGAGCATGTTGATTGATTTAAATTCGGTTAAATTATTTAGCATGTATGTTGTTTTTAATTTCGCTGGAAGCGCAAAGGTACGCAATTAATTGATTTTAATTTGTCGGGCATGTGCTTGTGTGCTTTAAAGTCGTTTAAATCACATTAAATTTTTGTTTTCCGCTGCGTACACGTGCCTGAAACCCAACACTAAAGCCATCACATTAACGGCCATGTGCTTTACCCCATTTCTCGTGAGAGCTCTAGAGAACAGCCTATAATTCTCATAGGAAGCGGCCCCACTTCCACACTCACAAGGTGAATTCTATCAAGGATGTTTACGTAACTCCAACACCCCACTCATTTGGGCTATAGAAATTCATTAAGAGATCAAAGTCTCAACCTCACAATTCGTTACGAGCTTTATTCGTGCACACGCATCATAGGGATGGATAATAAAAGTGTGCACTTTTATCATTATCAAGTTGCTTTCAGCTTCGTTTTTCTTCACCTAGTTCGTAGGATCTCTAGCCCTAGGCGGTACTATCCTCATCAACAACTTTACAAAATATATTAGGCTTTAATCCAATCCCCCTCGATGCATTTCAGATTATTTCTGAAATAATGTGAAATATAATTTCACAAATTTAATAGTGCTTATCCGACATTTAGTCTCGAAAACTCAATGGTTTATTAACCATTCTCAAATAATTTTACATATAATATCTCATAGATTTTCACGTGAATATTCACATAAATTCACAGTACTGTATTTTCTTTTAATGGTTCCGGATTCCATTAAAAGATTCTCGCAATATGCCAACTGCAAATTTTCAATCTCATTAATCAAAGCACAAAGCATTTGATTTTTCTCAATCATATTTATCAAAGCACAAAGCATTTGATTTATTCTCAATCATATTTATCAAAGCACAAAGCATTGATCTATCCCACATTAGGATTTTATATACCACATTCGCGGTATTAACCGGCATCCTCACAGGCTAATGTCAAAATAATCAATCAAAATTGATATGCGTTTTGCCTTTTAAATTATAAACAAATAGTCATTCGCACAATGTGATAAATCTAATCAAATAGGAATATAATTCCTCTTATTTAGATTTTCAATAATCAACAATATTGAAACTTTCAAGAAACGTTTCACTTCACAACTCACAAATTTATTTTCGCAAATTAATATCTACTCTTACGCCTTTCTAAATTATACCAATCACGTATATGTAAAATTAGGCCTTTAATAACTACTTGCATATTCAAGATTGCAAATAAAGCATAATTTATCACACTATCACTATAAATAATTTGTAATCATAAGATGAGTAATTAAAATAAATCACATCAAATTCAATTGTAACATGCTCATATACGTAGACTCTAAAAACCCCCACTATTTCTCAATATAAACAGCAAATTGATCAACATATAAGATATTTAAACACATACAATATTAACTCCACATAATGAATCATGAATCAAGATACATTTCAATAATTACGATCATGTTCAATTCTCAAGTAGAGATAACTACCATTACCCCCACTAATTGTCAATTTAAATAAATTATTTATTTTCATAAAAATAGTTTATAATAATTCACCATAATATTCCACAACAGTAAGATAGTCTCAAACTTTTAATACAAAAATCAATACTTCATCAATACCAAAAAATCAATTTTAGCAATGCTCAAATTATGCTTCATTTTCTTAGGCAAATTATAACGTTGCAAGTAAAGTCAAATTCACATATTTAATAACAACCATGAACGAAATAGTCATATATGCCATCAGATCACAAATTTATATAAATTGATTTAACACACAATGGTTAGAACATGCACAATATTTCAGTAGCAAAAATGTGAGATTTTTAATCATAATGGTTAAAGTTCAATATATAATAATCACTGCCAAATAAAAACGTTTCTATGTGAACGTTTCACTCTATATCTGATCAATTTTCATGAACAAATTATCATGCCATCACTTTCAATATGAATTGCACTTCAATAGATCAGTTAATGCACATACGGTAAAGTATTAAAAAATCAAGAGGTCACATGCAATTAAGTACACCTTAATGAAATTATTAATAATGAATTAATGTTACCTTGATTATTCAGACCGCTATATCTTTCTGAATTCATCTTGAACCGAAACATACCCGAGTTTGATAATTTTCATTTATCAAATTTTTCTTACTTCGAATTTTTATGGTTAGGGAAAAAACGCGCACAATTGGCAGCTCCGGTAGTGTTCAGTATTTTTTGAGCATACCTCCCTCGTTTGAGATCCGATTCAAGCGATTTAATATGTTTTGAACAGCCAACACAAAGTACTCTAACTTTCGTGTTTTATACTTTCTCAAATTCGGACATTATCAGGTCCCAAACTGGCCTCAAAGTATAAATTCGTGAATTGTACGAAAATTCACCTACACCAAAAATAAGATCGTTAATTTTTCGTTAAATTAAAATAACAATAAAATATAATTTATTATCTCCCTTTTTATCATCAAGAGCCTATTTTGGATCATCGTCAAAGCTCATCTTCATGGGATCAAAATTTCGTCTTAAATTGTTGGGACCACGGCTGCACTTTGACGATCGATCACGAAATTGGTGGATGAGGCTTGGACTCCATTTGTTCTCTAATTTTATAGGTAACAAGTTGTTGCAATAAAAAAGACGATAATATGGAGATAAGCAAGATGAGGCGCGGACTAGGTCGCTTTCTTAAGACGAATTTCACAATCCCTTCTCTAATGAGGTGCAAAAAGGTTCCGATCGTGTCGCCTATGGGATACAACAACCCGGACTATCTCTCCGCTGTAACTTCACCGAAATTGCACGTTCAAGTGAAGCAGAAGCTTACACCCGACACACAACAATAGCTCAACATATGTGTATACAATATATAGGATATATGATCTTTAGAAATGTAGTTTTCTCTCTACTCTCATCCTTTTACAAATACACAAAAACCCCCTTTATATAGTATAAAATATAACCACCATAAAACCTCTATTTAATATATAATTAAAGAAAATATGGAGGTTTTATGAGGCAAAATAATAATTTTGTAGGTTTCAAAATAGTGGTCTAAATGACATATAAATGTGGTCAAAGACAATATTTATATTTTATAATAAAATATATATTTTTATTAAAATACTCCAACATACCCTATATTTTTATCCTGGATCCGCCACTGCATCAGTGATAAGCTGGAGATTTTTAGCTTCCGTCCATGATGCAGACGTTCAGGGATGAAGATGGTGGAGATGGGCTGATTTCTGGATATTTGTATTTTTGCCCCTCAGTTCTGTGTTTTTTACACTTTAACCCCTGGCTGGGGTCTTTTCTGCAATTTTTGAAATTTCTGAGGAATCCTGCTGGCGTACCGTACTATTTCTGCATAATTGCACTTCAACCCCCGCCTGGGGTTTCTACAGCATTTTCAGAAAATTTTGTCTTAACAGTCTAGGCAGTTTTAGTTTTTATCTTTTCTACCCCATTTTGGGGCTTTTGTGTAGTAGACTCGGTAGGGTGTCTTCTGATTTTTTATTGTCATTGTAAGGGCACTATTTTTCCTTGTGTAGGCCCACAAATTTTTAACGTGATCCCAAACTTTTAACAATAATAGAATAATAAAATATTTTCGGCCAAAGAAAAGCAAAATAGTTCTATGCAACATTGGCCTTTTCGAATTCAATCTCTTTTTGTTTCAATATGCTCACCAAAAATGAGTCGATGATAATAATACTATTGACAAAAAAATATTATTTGCCGTTTATTTGTTTACTTATATCATTGTAAATGTGAAGACACTTTAATTTGGCCCATCGCAAACAGAGCAAAGCACATGAGCAAAGAACATATAACCTGGCTTGCGACCAATGTTCAGGGGTGTTTGTGACAAACTCTATAGTTTAGGGGTGCTAATTGTACTTTCCCCTTAATTTAATTGTATGTAGATAACATTGAAAACAAAAAAACTAGTCAAAGCTTATAAGTTGTTTGTCAATTGTCCGTCATGATTTTTCAAACTCAAAGTGCGTCAGACCACACGGTATTTGTATTAAATGACATGGACTTATTCAACTATTTCAACTTATAAGCTTCTACGTCTCATGATTTAGTATTTTGCTTTTCCCATTGACTTGACTTGCAAATATTACATGTTCTCTCTTCCTTCATGACAATGGTCTAATAATATTATAATACATGTACTAATAATTACTTAGCTTCAATTCTTTTTTGCCTCACACAATCATTTCACTACAAAATGGAGAGACACTACTCGCTATGTTTTTTTGTGCTGTTATCGGTTCACTGTACGAGCTTAGGCAGCAATATTACTGTCAACGATCAATCTTCAATTCTTACAATATTGAAATCCCACATCACTTCAGATCCTTACAATAGTCTTACAAATAATTGGACCACTAAAACCTCTGTCTGCAGTTGGATTGGAGTCACTTGCGATCTTCGCAACAATAGAGTGACCGAGTTGGATATTTCCGATATGGGTCTTGTAGGCACAATCCCAACCGAAATCGGGAATCTTTCTTCTCTGGTATCTCTAGATATGAGCGGAAACTTGTTCCACGGTCATATTCCTCGATCCATATTCAATATGTCAAGATTGGAAACTATTTCGTTACAGAATAATAGCTTATCTGGAAACCTGCCTGTGGATATTTGCAGCCATGGTAGTCTACAAAGGCTACAAGTGCTTTCTCTGTATCAAAACAATTTATATGGAGAAATACCGTCGACGTTGGATCAATGTGTGCAGCTTCAAATATTAGCTTTAATGCTCAACAACTTTACGGGACATGTGCCGAGACAAATTGGGAACATCACAGGGCTTACCTCGATTTTCCTTAGTTTCAACAATTTGGACGGTATCAATTCTTGATCTCTTTGTCTCTATGATGAATCTTACTTTAATTTGTTAAGAAAACATAGGGGGCTTTTGCTAATAGAATAACACGAGGAGTTTATTAACAATTGTAAAAGCACATTTTTTTTTATGCTTGACAATTGAACTGATTTTTTCATAATTTGACAATATCCCGCAGGTACTATTCCAGAAGAGATTGGTAATCTTAATCAGTTAAATATGTTGTTCATGGGATTTAACAAGTTGACGGGTTCAATACCTCCAAGCATTTTCAACATATCTTCGTTGGCAATTATCTCCATATCAAATAGCAGTTTATCGGGAACTCTGCCCGTTGACTTATGCAGCCACGGTAATCTTGATAGCCTACTCCAAATCTCGCTCTAGATAACAACATGTTACATGGTAAATTGCCCTCCAATTTGGGCCGTTGTTCGAAACTTCAAATGTTGATGTTGTCGTCCAACAAACTTAGTGGTGCGTTGCCGAGAGAAATTGGAAATATGACGTCACTTAAGCTATTATTCCTCAACAAAAACTCATTGAGTGGTAAGATTCTTCGTATTTCTTCTTTATTCCCGTGCTTTTTCCTCTTTCTTTCAAATACTAAGTTTTCGTTTGGATGGCGGTATTTAAGCTAAAACAGATTTTTTTTTTAAATGATTGAGACATGTGGTAATTTATTTACCTATAATTAGTGGCGGAACGAAAATTTTATATTTGTTGGTGCCAAATAATACACTACAAGTTGTCTAGGGAGGCTGATAATGCTACTGTATGCTGGTTTCTCCATTACCTATAACATTGGAATCATTTATAAGTAAAATTTTTCATATGCATAATATCTATTTATATCAATATTTGCATACATAGAAATGGATTCATATTATTATTTGTGCATTTACAGGAACTATCGACCCAGAGATCGGGAAACTGAATAGTTTGACTGGCTTAGACCTTTCAGAAAACCAATTTTCAGGTCCAATCACTCCTGCAATCGGCAATTTATCAAAGTTGAATATTTTATATCTTAATGCAAATAACTTTTCTGGAACAATTCCATCCGAAATAGGGTACTTGAACTCAGTGACGTATCTTCTTCTCGGTCACAACCGATTAAGCGGCCTATTAACAAACATTATTGCAAACTTAACAAGTTTGCAGTTTCTCTTGGTGGCGAATAACGAAATTTCAGGTAATATTCCATGGGATTTGTTCACATCCAATATTGTTGCCATTGATCTTTCCGATAATTTATTTGAAGGTAATTCATTGCCACTAGACATCGATAGATTCCCAAGCTTGATTTCTATAAACATTGCCAATAACAAACTTTCAGGCCGAATACCTTACACAATTGGGAATCTATCAACTCTCTCTGACTTACACTACTAGAAAATCTATTTCTCGTGACGCCGCAAATCGTCACCAAATGTGGGTTTTTGTGACGCTTGATCTATTGTGACGCTTGGCAAAAGAGTCACATAGGTGGCCGTGGTAATAGGTTAATATGACGCCTCAAGGGGCGTCCTAACATCCATGATATTACAACGCCCTAAAGCGTCTTAAAATCCTTTTCTTGTGACGAATGTAAGCGCCACATAATGATTTCCAACTACTTTAATTGCTTGAATATATGACAATCAAAAGCGTCATATAATGTATTATTATGATGAATTTGAAGTGTCATAAAAGTCTTCTTACATGACACTTTTTTAGTGTCACAAGAATCTTGTTAAAAAATTAACCTGCTCAATTTTTTAGTTTGCTTCTATATATGGTAAATAAACACAACCATTATATCTTAAAAACATTAATCGAAAATCATTATATGTCATACAAAATTACAGATACAATCAACTTAACATTACATGATAGTAAAAACAGCCTTACGAGATTCGTGTACTTATATCTGTCAAACTATTGTTCACCACCAAAATTCCCAATTATACATGGGGTCTGTATATTTTAACAAAAAGAAGAACAAATGTATTTTACCATACTCAATTCACGAGGATACATCTATCGGCATAAGTTTTGATATATGGTAACTCAAAATAGAACAAGTATAAATGTGCTGGACTGCTTGTTGTAATCAGTTGTACCCTTTCACTCGTGAAAATGCCATTCCTCTGCAGACCTGGTATTCATAGATTCGAACATATAGAAACTCTCAACAACAATTTCCAAGTGAAGGAAAGTAATCAATCAAACCAAGATAAATTATTATTTAGTACCAATAGTATAATTAAGCTTAGTGGACAAACCTTCATGAAGGTAGCAAGAGTTTCTGCAAATTTGTGGAAGTACATCTCTCAATCAGCACTTTACTGCATGTTTCGGTTATTTTGACTGCTACAATTCAATTTATAACTGATATACGTAAATTATTTCAATTAAAAAAATAACAGAGCAAACAAACGTATTTTAGTGGATCTACACTAACAAAAGAAAAACAGTTACATACCCTTGAGCGAAACTCCTGTTCAAGTAAAATGATGCATCTGTATTATCTGTTATGTTTTTTTTAGCCCCTATCATCTAAATATGCAAGAATGAAAACACTTATTATCAGCAATTATATATGAAACATACTCGCATTATATGGAATAAAAACCAAACAAAGTTAACCCTTTACCTTTGCTAAGCACCACATCATATATAAATCTAGAATTTGGCAAAGTAGCAATCTTCTCATAAGCCAACTGAAGTAAAGGAATATAACAACCACTTCCGCTACAAAGTAATAATACTTCGAAATTAATAGAAAGAGGAGATCAAATTATTCCAATGTACCGAAATTAGTAACTTTATCTCACATTGTAGAGCACATTGGAGCAATTTATCCAATAGGTACCACCTCACTGAAGTTGTTGGAAACACCTACAGACCTTTTTTAAAAGCTGAAAAATAACAGATATTATAATTAGAAAACTCTTTGGAACTAAAAAACAAGAAACCACTACGAAGTATTTTTCAATACTTTATCAACAAAGGGAACTGCTATATACCTCTTATTTGTAAGGTATGCAAGATGCATATTAACATGTTCTTATTGTTCTTTCAACTCGGTCGAAATAAAAGATCAACCAATTTTGTTTCAATTTTAACATTTTTATTTGGACTCAATAGCTATAGCAACATCTCATAAATGCCCAAACACTAGACAACTCGGTGGGAATATAACATAAGAGAAACAATATATTCTAGAATTCTAACCATAATGTTTATCCTTCTAAGACTTTCATTAGAGTTATTAGAAGTAAGACAACAATTCATTGACAACATGACTTGTCTTCGTTGTCGGTCTACGAATAGTATGATGAAAAACACTTTCAGCTCAAAGACAGAGAAATTTAATGTCATATATATATATATATATATATATATATATATATATATATATATATATAACACTTAATTCCTTAATTCTAAATATCATACCACATACATTCATTCACTCAAATGAAAAAAATAAGATGTTAACTGCACAAAGTTTTATCACGGCTGCATAATTATATATAAATTGATTCAAGGAATAGAACAGACACGTCTTCAATAAACTGAATTATAAACATTCTTAATTCAACATTACACTCATTACAGTTGAAAAACAAAAGAACATAACTCATTTCAATTCCATCTAAAAATAACTCAAAATCAATATAATTGAGTTGTGCAAATAAATCTGAACAAATTGATGTGTTCAATAAACTAATACCCAAAAAAAAATGAAGTTTCTTAATTTCATCAGAAAAGAAATCGAAGATTCAATACATATTCCGCATATTAATCCCAAAAATACAAGCAACAACAATTAAAACCTAGAAAAAAAACTAGTAACGGGGAAAAATTAGTTTTACCTCGAAGGCATATTATAAGGAACGGATTGTGCTCTTCGAATTCTTTTGCGAGACTCTGCCGAAAATTGGGGAAAGAAAGAGAGGGAGGAAAACTAGAAGCTGTGTGATTCTGCGGATGAAAATAGAGGAGAGGGTAAAGTGATTATGTTATAAATTATTTTAATGGGTAATTGGGTGCTTATTTTTAATTTCCTTTTGTGACAATTAATAAGAGCATGTTAAGACGCCTCGTAACTGCTGTCTCAAAAGATTCATTATATTATGACGACTTATTTAAAAGGGTCATATAATGTAATTTTTGAGAATTAAAAAATATATACACAGAACACGTGGAACCCGTTTAGTTTACGGCGTCATAATAAACGATTGTTGAGACGACTTTTACAAACCGTCACATTACAGCGTTATGAAGGCGTCACTAAAGACCATTTTTCTAGTAGTGTTAATACTCCATTCCAACAAACTTTTAGGAGAGATTCCATTATCCGTTTGCAACTTGACATCTTTTAGCTATTTTCATTTGTCGAGTAACAATTTTGAAGGGCCAATCCCGCAATGTTTAGGAAACTTGAGCCGGTCACTACGAGTTTTGCATTTGAGGGAGAATAATTTTCATGGTACTTTACCGACATTTTCAAAGGGTTGTCTTCTTGAGTCGATTAATATGAATGGGAATAAATTGGATGGAAAATTACCACAATCTCTCGTCAACTGCGGAAATCTACAGGTTCTTGATATTGGAAATAATCAAATACAAGATGTATTTCCCTTTTGGTTGGAAACTCTTGTTGAGCTTCGAGTGCTTGTCTTGAGATCGAATAGATTTGATGGTACAATATTGCAGGATTCAAATAATGAGCTTCCGATTCCCAAGTTGCAAGTTTTGGATATATCCAAGAATAAATTTAATGGTTCTTTGCCCGGTAGATATTTAAACAATTTTAGAGCCATGATGGATGTGAAGGAAAATGGAACCGAAAAAGGAAATTGGTTTTCGAACTATCAAGAGACAATTGTATTTGTTTTGAAAGGTTTGGAGCTTCCAGTGGTGAGAATCTTGACAACATTTACGACAATTGACTTGTCCGATAATAGATTTTCAGGAACTATTCCACAAAACATTGGAAGTCTTAACTCTTTGAGATACTTGAATTTGTCTCGTAACAACATCACAGGGAATATACCAGCATCTCTTGGAAATATGAGTATACTTGAATCGTTGGACCTGTCTTCGAACCGATTGGTGGGGCAAATTCCATTACCATTGACAAAGTTGACGTTTCTTTCCAAATTGAACCTTTCATTCAATAATCTTGGTGGGCAGATACCTCAGTCAGGCCAATTTGCTACATTTGACAACAGTTCGTATATGGGAAACTCGGGTTTATGCGGATTTCCATTGACAACAAAGTGCAAACAGGACGACAATGTACAAACTTTGGTTCCAGAGCTACCACATGTCGATGATGAGTCTGGTTTTATTGATGGTTTTAGTTGGCGAGCTGTGGTTTTGGGGTATGGAAGTGGGTTCGTACTTGGGACTACAATTGGTTATTTCATTTTTCGGTATGAAAGACCAAAATGGTTTGTGGGGTTGTTCTTCAATATCCAGGATAAGATAAATGGAAAATTGAAAAGGAAGACGGCACGGCGAAAAACTTGATTGAAGATGTAAATTAATTGTGGTTTTTCCCAAGTTTTGATATATAGTTTATGGGGCTATGGTTTGAATTTTATTTATTTTTTGGTGAGGCCTCCATTTCAATTTTATTTTGTTTAGAGATGTTTTATTTATTTTTAGAAGATGTTTTATATTTATGGGGCAATTTGCTATAGGTCCCTCTATATTATAATTTATGTGTGTAAATTCAAGTCAAAATTTAATGTTTTAATAAATTAATAATATTTATTATGACAAAAATACCCTTAATTAAATCAAACCAAATCCCAAAAAATCTCTCTATCATAACAAATTCCCAAACATATCTCTTCCAAACATTAACTAAAACAAATACATTAATTCATAACGAAAATATACAATTTATTTTACAAACTCATACTCTAAAAACGTCACCGCAGCCCCACCACCGCCTATGACTCCGCGAACTGCAAATAGCAAACTGAAAATTAGATTTTATATTATTGAATTGCAAACAACAAAATACCTATGATTTCGCCAAACCCAAACAGCAAACTGAAAAAACAAAATTCATAATTTGTATTACTAAATTACAAACAAAAAATTACCTATGACTTCGCCAAATGCAAACAGCAAATTGAAGAAAAACATTCAGCAAAACTTGCATTATTGAATTGCAAGCAATAAACTACCTATGACTTGGCCAAACGCAAACAGCAAACTGAAAAAAAAAAAAAAATCAGCATCATTAAAAACATCAACCAAAAAATTATTTATAGAGCAATTTGCAAACAACAAAAATATTAAACAAAAATGTTTGTAAAATGTAACTTAAGACATACCTTGCAAATTGTAAACCAGAGGAATCGAATCTCAACATCAAACGCAATTCTTCAAACAAAAACGAAACTAAACCAACTGCAAACGGAAATTTCTAACAACAAACGATGGGAGGTTCTACATACGGAAAACACAATGCGAATTTGACTAGGATTTTGGATTTCTGATTTTTTTTGGGAGGGGATGTTTGTCGTCCTCTTTAATTCTTTCACAAAGAAATCCTCTCATAATCTATTAAGATCCTTGTTTTTTTTCATCTTTATAATATTTCTTCACTAAAAAAAAAAGAAAACGAAAAAGAAAAAAAAGAGAGAAGCACCAGAGAGAGAGAGGCGTGAAAATTGAGATGCAGAAGGAGAGAGATGAGGAATTATATAGGGAGAAAGTAACGTGAGATTGGAGAGAGAAGATATATAAGATTTATTTTCTTATTAATTGAGGGTGTTATGGTCTATATACTAATTATTTTAATTTATTTATATTAATTTATTGGGTCAAAGGACCTAGGCCTATATTCATCTAACAACTAGGATCTCTAGCTATATAAGTCCAAAATAAGGGGTGTCTAGCAAATTTCCCCTATATTTATAGTGGAATACTATGTAATATTCAAAATGATTAATGATTCTTGTATGTTTATGTTTTCTATATATTTGAGAATTTGTTGTTGAACTTGGAAGGGCGCACATTTTGAAAGAAAAATCTTTCATTGCACTAAATTAGGAATGCTACTACTTTCACATGGTTCAGTTGGCTTGGACAATTTGCAATTTTTAGTACACTTCATGTCTTTACCGATCGATTTGTGAAACAAGTTCAGCCGAGTTCATTAGATTATTTCAAAATTTGCTGGTATTTGATATTCAAATTTTGGACTAGAACAAGTGTGGAACAAGTTTAAAATATTAATGTTGAATCCGCCATAATTATTTCAAAATATGTAAGCATGATTGTCCTCTCCCACATCCAACTTTCAATGTATCTACAATCTGAGCATCATTTTTGTAAAATGAAAAACAATTATGCTATATGTTGGTCTTAGGTTGTTGCAGAGAGAATACTGACTTTCTGTATGATTACCGTGTTTTCAGTATGAGAGAAGCAAAAGAAGACCAACTCTACTTTAAGAAAACTCCCACATCATAAAAATACATAATTAGTGACTGCTATTTATATCTTAAGATTACTAAATCTATTTGCCGAGCTCAGTACTGCGAGCTGATAACCCAAATGGGGGCTTTAATGTGATTGGATGTTGGGCCTGACCAGCTGGTTGGGCTATAGGCAGCAATTACCTGGCTTGCCCATTCCAAGTCAGGAGTTGTACCACATGGCTCAAGCGAAGGCTTGGGCTAAGTGGCTCCTAAAGAGGAAGACACCTCGTCAGGTTGGCTTCACAGAGCAGCGTTTACTTTCCTCTCTCGACATTCCTCTCTATATATATATATATATATATATATATATATATATATATATATATATATATATATATATATATATATATATATAGAGCGAGAGAGAGCAGCGTTTACTTTCCTCTCTCGACAGGAAGGAAGCCAGTTGTACTTGCCCGATTGGAAAATCATTTTTTGTTTTGTTAACTTTTTATTTTTTTTAGGCACATGTTCACAATCTCCATTTGAATATAATTAGGATCTAAGATGAATTGACTTAGACAACATATATAGTATGAATTTTGGGGTCTTATGATATAGGTCCCTCGTGATAAAACTAATTAGAACTAAATGACAAGCTCAACTAAACATTTGCTTCACATTATTTATAAATTTTATTCCGAAACCTTCACTCATCTTTATTTTTTCAATTTTCACTCTAACATTTTCTACATTATCATAAACAGTTTTTTTTCCTTATTTTTTATATTTTATTGGAAATTACGGGAAAAAAATTGTTAAATAATTCAGCAGATTTAAAAAATACTATGGTGCACTATGGTATACTATGATGTACTATAATTTTTACACAATTATTAAAAAACAAATCCTGCATTATATTGAAAATTACGGGAAAAAAAATTATTTTTCGTTTAATTCAAGCTACATATATTTTAATTTTTTTTAATTTATTTGTTGTCAATAATACCATGTAGACTATGTATACTATAGTGTACTATAGTCTACTACGGTGTACTACCAAACCCTAGCAACCAACAACACCCAATCTCGCCAACCCTAGTCGTAAAACACAGCAGTCGTCAAACCCTAGGAGCCAACATCCGCAGTCGTCGCAACTGTAGTCACCTACCAACTTTGGAAAAACCTAGATTTACGATTTTGAATTCAAATCAAGCAAAATCTCTTGAAGATCAAGAAAATCAAATGCAATTTGTAAAGAAATATAATTTGAATCAAATCTCCACCATAACCACATCCCGCCGCCGACCACCGCAGCCCCCAACACCGCCTCAACCACCACAACCCCCAATGCCGCCTCGATCACCACAACCCCCCAACGCCGTCTCGACCACCACAACGCCTTGCCGCCGCGTTAACCGTGGTCCGTCGCCGCCGCCTCACCCACTACAGCCTCCACCGCCGTCGTCCACCACAAGCCCTGCGGCCCAGCCGTCTCAACCACAGCCATGCGCCGCCGCCTCAACCATATATATATATATATATATATATATATATATATATATATATATATATATATATATATATATATATATATATATATATATATATATATATATATATATATATATATATATATATATATATATATAGAGAGAGAGAGAGAGAGAGAGAGAACAAAAAAAAAGAGAGAAAAAGTGATACATAAAACGTGTGAGAGAGATGGAGAGAAAGAGAAAGAACGTGAGATAATACCAAAAGAAACGTGAATGTGTAGGTTATATAATTTAGGGTATGAGGGCAAGATAGGAATAAAAAAAATTAGGGACGTGGCTCATATATTATTTCAATGTAAGTATTTATTTAAAAAAATGAATTTGAACTTGTCATTTAGCTCAAATTAGGTTTTGTTTGAGGGGCTCGTAGCATATTACCCTTTTAAATAATACTCTTTACCTCAAACATTAGAATAGTTTTTTACTATTATTATTTAGGGTAGATATAGCACTTAACCCTTTGATGTATGTATTATTTACCCTTAAATTGATTGTAATTGTAATTATTATATCCTTTATCACAATGTTAGCAAAGTAAATATTCCTTTGAAAATAATTATATTCAAGGAACGTAATGGTTAAGTGTAAAATATGGGAGTTAGATGTTACACCTGATTGATTATGTACACCCGATGGATTCGTCTGACATGGTTTGTTAGCTTATATTACTTATTGAAACTTATAGGAATGTTTTGCACGTTACTCCTAAACAATTTTTTTTTTCTGATCATTCTTTCCTCAACTTGATAATATTTTGCACTGTGCCCAACAATATTATTTTTGTTCAAAACTCGCTCTCTATCGTTTTAATAATTAGAACAGGGATAGGAGAGCCTTCGAGTAGTTTTCACCGGATGAGTGTGTTAATTGCATGTATTATCGTAGACATATAGATAATACCTTAGGTAGCCGTTTACGAGACTTGTTATTTAATGCTTTATTTATACTAGGTTTGCATAGACATATAGTGAATCTTTTATGAATAATAGGCTTATAACGCAGCGACAGCTGCTTATGAGTAATTTTTGTGTCTTGGGTTAATAATCGGGAATCGTAACTTGCATGATAGGAGATTAATTGGGTGAAGAATTATCGCATATGGGGAAGATAAAATCCTAGATCCGTTTTATATTGATATTTTTCTCGTGTTTAATTGCTTTCTTAATTAGTTTAATTTATTTACTTAATTAATTTGACAACCCTGCGTAGGCTGGATAAAAATCACAATTGTTAGGATTTGGTACTTAGGATTAAATAATTTGCGTATTCCCTGTGGGATCGACATCCGACTCTCACGAGTCTACTTTACTACTTGTTTGCGATACGTACACTTGCGTGTTGGTATTTAGCACCCAACAGTATACCGTGTGTGCATTAATTGTAACCTGATAGAATCCTTTTAAGATACGACTTGTCAATTTTATTTTCACAGATCATCGTTCAATAGAAAATTATTTAATTGGTATGGACGGAAAATTGCATGTGAGGAATTTCATAAATACCCAAATTTCTCTTCAAAACCCTAATTACTCAT